AAAAGTTACTTTCCCTGATTACAACTATATTCTAATTTATCGCCTGGAGTGAAATGTTTGAAGATTATTTGCAACTTTACCTGTGGAAGGTTAATGCTTCCTTTGGCTGGCTCGCTCTTCAAACGATCTGGGTACGAGGAAAAAACGGTCACAGGATCCCCACGCCCCGGATATAACTAAGCATTTTACTGGATTTGCTCACGTTCTTGCTCGTTTTCACTCATGTAGGGGGCCAACAGCCATACAAATTTACAGAATTTATTAGAACAAAGGAAATTGTTCACATAAGAAAAGAGTTCAACTCCAACAGACTACAGCCGCCGAACATTTCCTGTCCTCTCCTCAATTAATCCCCATCGAAAAAGTCTTTTCGAACCGAGACTCTATCCGTGAGGCCAGGTCAGCTTTTTTAATTCAAAAAGGCAGAATAATTGATCCTGATGGTCTGAACATCCGTGAAGAAACATATTAATTGTTTCCATTTGTTTCCTTTAATTATGTTCTTTCATTATGTTATTTTATTTTACCGTATGCTTGTCTTTAATTTACACTGTCAATTAGCTTTACGTATTTCCGGTATTACGAAAATATCGGGCTACATAATAAAAACACGTCGCAATGTAAAATTTCCATTGTACCTGAAGAAGGCTGGTTTGGCCAGCCGAAATATAGTACACCTTCAAAAAATCATCCTACGTTGTGTCGGTTTTTGCTTTTGTATTCTTCAACTTCAACAGCCGTTTGTCTAGTATGCGCAGGCTGAAGTTGTCTGCCAATTCACTGCCAATTCGCCTGCTGTTAATTCACCTGCTAGAAGTACACTGCCACGGCTTCGTTTTCCTTTTTGATTTTATGCAACTGCTGCTGAATCTTACTATCCCTGCACGANTTCTAACCGAGACTCTATCCGCAAGGCCAGGGAAGCTTTTTTAATTCAAAAAGGCAGAACAATTGATCCTGATGGTCTGAACATCCGTGAAGAAACATAGTAATTGTTTCCATTTGTTTCCTTTTATTATGTTCTTTCATTATGTTATTTTATTTTACCGTATGCTTATCTTTAATTTACACTGTCAATTAGCTTTACGTATTTCCGGTATTACGAAAATATCGGGCTACATGAAAACACGTCGCAACGTAAAATTACCATTGTACCTGGAGAAGGCTGGTTTGGCCAACCGAAATATAGTACACCTTCAAAAAATCATCCTACGTTGTGTCGGTTTTTGCTTTTGTATTCTTTAACTTCAACAGCCGTTTGTCTAGTATGCGCAGGCTGAAGTTGTCTGCCAATTCGCCTGCCGTTAATTCACCTGCTAGAAGTACACTGCCACGGCTTCGTTTTCCTTTTTGATTTTATGCAACTGCTGCTGAATCTTACTATCCCTGCACGAAACTGGATCTACCCACGCATTTTCAGCGTGCTTGCCGGCTGACGTTCTTACTCGTTGTCACTCTCATTCGTGGCCATGAACAAACGAGAGTGTTCACATAAGAAAAGAGTTCAACTCCCACAGCAGTTGGTCTAGTAGCTGAAGCAGTTACGCGCACCGTGATTTTGACCAACTTTGGCTTGATTTCCTGGAACTTGGGGGATATTTTCCAGTCGTAAGAACTCTAACCTAACTTGTGATGGCCTTGGCTTCCAGCGAAATGGACAGGGGTTAAACAATTAAACGCTCGGTTTCGAGCTTCCTGGCCGAAATATAGCCCCACTTAAGGTATCAGTAAGGGGAAAATTTGCAATTTTGCATAATTTTACTTTTTTAAGCGGTTGGATAAATCTTAAAGTAATCTTTTAGATAAAAAAAA